CACTCAGGAATTACTCCTGGCAGTGCTCAGGGGACCATATGGGATGCTGGGAATTGAACCCAGGTCCGCCACATGCAAGGCAAACGCCCTCCCCACTGTGCTATCGCTCTGGCCCTAAGCATATTTATTTTTTATTTATTTATTTATTTATTTTGGCTTTTTGGGTCACACCCGGCAATGCTCAGGGGTTCCTCCTGCCTCTGCACTCAGGAATCACTCCTGGCAGTGCTCAAGGGACCCTATGGGATGCTAGGATCGAACCCGAGCTGGCTGCATGCAAGACAAACGCCTTCCCCACTGTGCTATGGCCCCTGGAAGCATGCTTTAATCTAACCCCCAAGCCTGAGCACTGCCCACTTTAAGGGCCCCGGGCCAGCCCGTGTCGACAGACCCAAGTTGGATCAGCGTTAGGGAGCGAAGCCATCTTCCGTGTTCCTGCCATGCGGGCTGGAGCGCTCGAGGCTAGGGCTCCGTGGGTTTGGAGAGAGGGGGCAGCTGGTGTTGGAATTTGTTCTATTTTTTTCTTCTCGGTGGAGGAAGCCAAGGTGTGGGAGGCCGGGTACCCGGGAAGAGGCTCTTCCAGAGGTGGTGAGAGGCGTGTGTGTGTGTGTGTGTGTGTGTGTGTGTGTGTGTGGGTGTGTGTGTGTTGGGGGTGGGGGTGGCGAGTTGAGCCCTGCCCAGATCTCCTGCTGCCAAGACTTACCCTTATCAGTCATCAGCCCCGGGGCCCCTGGTCAGTGCAACTGGTCCAGGGTCCTGAATAATGGCCTTGTGTCAAACGTTTTTAGTGCCTGCCTGTCCGCTTTGGCTATGCCTTCAACCTCCCACAAAGTGCTAGAAACTTTGGTTTTGGGGCCCTGAGTGATAGTCCAGCGGGGAGGGCGTTTGCCTTGCACGTGGCCGACCTAAGTTCGATTCCCAGCATCCCCTAGGGTCCCCCAAGCACCGCCAGGAGTCATTCCTGAGTATATAACCAGAAGTTACCCCTGAGTGTTGCTGGGTGTGACCGTAACCCTCCCCCCAAAAAATAATAAACTGGTTTTCTTCGGAACACAGGACGGGCAGGGGGCGGGGAGATGAAACTTTATTTAAAAGTTAGAAAACAGGGGCTGGAGCAATAGCACAGCGAATAGGGTGTTTGCCTTGCACATGGCCGACCCAGGTTTGATTCCCAGCATCCCATAGGGTGCCCTGAGCACCACCGGGGATAATTCCTGAGTGCAGAACCAGGAGTCAACCCTGTGCATCGCTGGGTGTGACCCAAAAAGGAAAAAAAAAGGGAAAAATATTTGAGTGGTAGGAGCTGGAGCAGCAGGTAGGGCGTTTGCCTTGCACGTGGCTGACCCAGGTTCGATCCCCGGCATCCCATAGGGTCCCCAAGCACCGCCAGGAGTGATTCCTGAGTGCACGAACCAGGAGTAACTCCTGTGCATCGTTGGGTGTGACCCAAAAAAGCAAAAAAAAAAAAAAAAAGTTAAAGAACAATTGGGGAGCCCTTTGGATGCTTTGGAGGGGGCTGGACACTGGCTCAGATGCAGAGTTGGGGGCCACTTTTGATCCACATTCATGGATCGCGTCATATCTGGTCACACCAGAACAACCCATGGGTCCTGGGGAGGTACAAGCTTCTGAGAAGGGGAAGTGCAAACGAGGAACCCCTCGCCGTCCGGCCCGCCCCAGGGACCCCTGGTGATATTCAGGGCGTCCTGAGTGGTGTGCATGGTCTCTTCTTGCAGGAACCCATGACTGGTTCTCAACAGGCCTTCTAGAAACTTCTAATAGGTTCCCTTACTTCAGGGCCATGGAAAGTCGGGTTTGACAGAACCCAAAGAAACTTAAAGGGAGGAAGTGACCATCAGAAAGGTTGGTCAGCCGGGCCATGAAGGGTCCGACACAGAAACGGCCTGAATTGGGTGAGCTCCCCCTTCCCTCCCGCTGTCTTCCTTGGAACGGGACAGTTCAGAGTGTCATCTTCCTCGGGGAGGATGGGCTCCTTGGTGACTGATGAAATGTCACCACCAGTGACGTATCATCAGAGCCCAGGGCCGGGGCTGGAGCGATAGCACAGCAGGGAGGGCGTTTGCCTTGCACACGGCTGGCCCAGGTTTGATCCCCAGCATCCCTTATGGTCCCCCAAGCACTGCCAGGAGTAATTCCTGAGTGCAGAGCCAGCAGTAACTCCTAAGCATCACTGGGTGTGACCCAAAAGGCAAAAACAACAACAACAAAATAAAAACAGAGCCCAGGGCCTCCAGACCCTCAAGAGAGCCCCGGGGATTTATAAGAGAGAACGCAGACACCCCAGAAGTTCGCCGAGAGGCTCACGCGTCACAGCGGGATGGCCAGGCCCTGCCCGGGGACACCCTCGCCTCCATCCTGCCTTGTGGGCCTCTTCCTACCTCCTCTTCCTCCGAGTCCGTGGGGGAAGCCAGAGACTCGGGACCAGGTCACGCAGGGGAGTAGCCAGCAGGAGAAAGGGACCCCGGTGGCATTACTTTGAAGACAGCAGTACCCTGTCTGTGGTTGACCCCATAAAACAACAGTTTTGTCCAAAAGCCGTTTTTTCCCCCTAAGGCCCCACCCTCATCAGAATTCCATTGTTTCATGGGGCCCTGATGGAGATTCTGATTGGTTGGTTCGGCCCTGCCCTGCCCTCCCCCCCACCCCTTCCTCAGTGGACACCAGAGTGACCGCTCCGGGCTCTCTGTCCCCACTCTTGGGACAAGGGTCATTGATGCCCATGACCAGGCGTCGTTTTCACAATTTCCCCGTTTCCGTTGGCCGCGTGGGAGGTGGCGGAAGTGAGGCCGTGGCTGTTAGCTGGGCATGAGCACCCAGTTTGGCCCCGACATGATGCTGCTTTGAAACAGGCCACCTGTTAACACCTCAGGAGTCACGTGTGGAATTCTCTGGAACATCTGAAGAATTACATACTTATCTTTTCTGGTCCTCTTCTCTCTCTCCCTGCCAATTCGCCCCAGAGTTAACTTGCTATCGTCTGGGATCCTGGATCAGAGTCTACGTTCACCACAGCTCAGGGGGGGTGAAGATGGTGGTTACCCTCTCAAACCTGTTTTTTTTCTTTCTTTTTGGGTCACACCCGGCGATGCTCAGGGATTACTCCTGGTTCTGCACTCAGGAATTACTCCTGGCGGTGCTCAAGGGACCATATGGGATGCTGGGAATCGAACCTGGGTTGGCCGCGTGCAAAGCAAACACCCTCCCCGCTGTGCTATCGCTCCAGCCCCCTCTCAAACCTCTTAAACGCTGTTTGGATGTTCCTTCAACTAGAATAAAGACAGAGGAATGCTAACACTTTTTTTTTTTTTCAAAAAAAGACGGTGAACTGGAGGGGAAAAAAAGTGAACATTCTTCAAGTCCATGCCTATTGTTACATTTTACTGCATTTCGAAATTTGTAAAAGATTTCTTAATTCATCGATTTTCTGGGGTGTCATTGGGAGGGGGCGGGGGTGAGTTGTTCGGGGCCCAATCAAATAAAAACTAAGCTACGGGGTGGGGGTAGTGGTGGTGGGGTTTGAGAAAGAGCTTCACTGGCCATTGACAGTGCCTGTATTTATTTATTTATGCTTTTTGGGTTTATTTATTTGGATTTATTTATGCTTTTTTTTGGAACCTCGGCAATGCTCAGGGGTTCCTCCTGGCTCTGCCCTCAGGAATCACTCCTGGCAGTGCTCGGGGGACCCTATGGGATGCTGGGACTCGAACCCGGGTCGGACGCGTGCAAGGCAAACGCCCTACCTGCTGTGCTATCACTCCAGGCCAACAGCGCCTGTATTTATGAGCACCACAGGGAAGCAGGACTTCAGGAGGGTGATGGGTATCCACGCGAGTCATCAAATTCCCCTCCGGGGTGGCTCTTGGGACCTTCACCCTGCCTACAAAACTCAATGAAGGTTTGGCTCTTGGTGGGGAAGGGTAAACTGAGGACACGCCGTGTCCTCTTTGAAGCCACCAGAAGCCATCCTTGTGTCATTCTGAATCTGGCTGGGTTTCCTCGTGTCTGTGTTTTTTGGGGTTTGCTTTGGGGCCACACCTGGCAATGCTCAGGGCTTACTCGTGCACTCAGGAATTACTCCTTGGTGGTGCCCATGGGACCGTCTGGGATGCCGGGGCTTGAACCTGGGTCCGCTGCGTGGAGAATTCCTGGCTTGGAGAGCCCTGTGCATCCACAGGTGGCCCGCGGCCTTGAAGAAGCCTGAGAACTTCTTACCATGGAAATGGGAGGGCCACCTGGGTTTAAGGTCCCAAGAGCTTGGGGCGGGAACTCAGCAGAGGTGACCGGCTCTCCTGAGAGAATCTAGGGGTGCTTAGGAGAAGCTAAGAAAGGGGGGGGTCACGAAACCTCGATCCAGTAGACACTTTTTTTTGGGGGGTCACACCAGGCAGCCCACAAGGGGTGAAGAAGAGGTTAAGTGCAGGGTTTTCAGTCGATAACTGCCCAGTGTTGGGAAATTGTTATTGAGAAAGTCCTGCTGTCACTTGCTTCTTTTTGTTGGTTTTGGATGGATTCCTCCTGGCTCTGCCCGCAGGTCATTCCTGGCAATGCCCAGAGAACCTTGTGTGGTATGGCAAGTGCTCTGCCCGTTGTACTCTCTCTCTGGCCCTCTCGCTTTTAGCTGTGACCACCCTTCTGTCCAGCAGAATTTCAGCTGCCCCTACCTCCCTATGTGCACACACTTTAAAGACCAGGAAGGGTCTTTCTCGTTGCTTGTGGGACGCAGGAATAATGCCACCCACTATCTTAGATAGATGAGCTCCTTGGGCCGCTGCAAAGAGACGCTGTTTATTTTATTTTATTTTTTTGCTTTTTGGGTCACACCTGGCGATGCACAGGGGTTATTCCTGGCTCATACACTCAGGAATTACTCCTGGCGGTGCTCGGGGGACCATATGGGATGCTGGGAATCAAACCCGGGTCGGCTGCGTGCAAAGTAAACACCCTACCCGCAGTGCTATCGCTCCAGCCCCAAGAGACGCTGTTTATTAAACATTTGTTTTATTTATTTTTTTCTGTAGAATCAACTAGTTGGCTACCAATTACAGTTAGAATTTTCCCGTTTGCCTTCCTGAGGGAAGCACAGTTAGCACTGTCTTCCGAGCAACCAAATCACGATCCTCCTTGGTTTCAGGGGCCATCTCTGCATTTCGACTTTCCGGTGCGTCAGGAATTCTTAGTGGTTTTCTTTAGCTTTTAGTTCTTGGTTGTATCTACAAAGGAGACAGACAGAAAGGCTGTTAGGAATCCCAGCAGACTGCTGAGTCGAGAAGCGGCAGGAAGTTGTCCCTCTCTTCCTCCTCCTCCTCCTCCTCCTCCTCCTCCTCCTCCTCCTCCCTTCTAGCGGCCAGGAGCCATCTCTGGGGAAAGACAGCCTCCTCGGGAGAGCTCGTTGCCACAGGCAGAAACGCAAGTCACCCGGGGCTGGAACAATAGCACAGCGGGTAGAGCGTTCGCCTTGCACGCGGCCGACCCGGGTTTGATTCCCAGCATTCCATAGGGTCCCCCCACTGAGCACCGCCAGGAGTGATTCCTGAGCACAGAGCCAGGAGTAACCTCTGTGCATCGCCGAGTGTGATCCCCCCCCAAAAAAAAGAACCACAAGTCACCCAAGGAATCGAACTATTTGCATCTGACTTCTACAACTGCCAAAATATTTGACAACTGGTCAGCAGGGGTTTTGTTGTTGTTGTTTTGCTTTTGGGGTCCCACCCACCAATGCTCAGGGTTTACTCCTGGCTCTGCACTAAGGAATTACTCCTGGCGGGGATCAAACCCAGGTCGACCACATGTAAGGCAAACACCCTCCTCGCTGTGCTACTGCTCTGGTCCCTGGTCTGCAGTTTGATTTTTTTTTCGTTTTGGGTCACACCCGGCAAAGCTCAGGGGTTCCTCCTGGCTCTGCGCTCAGGAATCACTCCTGGCGGTGCTTGGGGGACCCTATGGGATGCTGGAAATCGAACCCGGGTTGGCCACGTGCAAGGCAAACACCCTACCGGCTGTACTATTGCTCCAGCCTCAAGCAGTATCTGAAAGAATATTTTCATCTCTGAAATGAAGTGATGAGCATGGATGTCCAGCAAGTGAGCGCTCGTGGGAAAGGCAGCGACTCTGGACACCTCAGAGCCATTTTATTCTGAAGTGCGTCGTCGCCGAGAGGAAGAGCCGTTAAGCCTGAGACCCTGCTTAATGCCTGCAAAGCAGCCTGGGGTCAGGGGCCGCGCACGCCGGGCTTCCTGAGGCCCAGGGCTGCTCTTCCAGTGCTGGGAATCGCTGAAGAACCAGCCCAAAGCCATGGCCCTCACCCTCTGCAGCTCCCTGGGCTTCACTTCCTGTCCTTCCTAGCTTGCAGGGTGGGGAAAGTGGAAAAGCTTGAGGAAAAAGTGTGGTCCATGAAGCCGGCTGGGTTCCGAGATTTCTCAAACTGCCCGGGGACTCCCAACACTCAGACCTCCTGAGTCCCCCAGGTTTGCTCTTGACTGGAAGGTGCCAGAAATTCTTTTGTCAAACTCTTTTCTTTTTCCTTCCTTCCTTTTTTGCTTTCTTCTGATGGCTATACCTGGTGATGCTCGGGGCTGACTCCTGGCTCTGCGCTCAGGAATCACTCCTGGCGGTGCTGGGAGACCTAACTGGGATGCTGGGAATCGAACCTGGGTCGGCTGTATGCAAGGCAAAAGCCCTTCCTGGTCTGTGCTACTGCTCCGGCCCTGCTGTTTCTGAATTCTGACCTTAGAAAGGGCAGTTTGTACATGGTACTTAGTGTGCTCTTAGCTCTACTGCTGTAAGCCAACAGATGGTTCAACTAGGAGGGTGTGGGAGAAAGGTACGCTGTGAGTAAAATCACTGTAGAACTCAAAGCTGGATATAACTGAGTCTGGGAAGGGATTGCCGGAATACTACAGAACTGTTTATCCGGCACAGCAAAATCCCAGTTTAATGCCAGGACTGGTTATAAAGCGCCAGTGAGGCTGAGGATTGGAACGGAGAGGGAAGGCAGGAACTGGTTCTCTCGGCTGTGGGCCCGACCCTGCCTCCTGCTCACGGGCCGGAATATCCATATCTGAGATCTGTCTTCACTGACAGCCGGGTCGCTTTCTCTCTCAGGCAGGAGCTGTTATTTATGATAATGCTTTGTAATTTAATAAGCTTCAGCGGTTCAAAGCTAGATCATTCCTCATAGATGAGCCCGTGGCAGTGAGCCGGTTGCCCCCTGGCAATTATTACTGACTGCACAGTGTTAAAACTTCCAGGGTCCAGAGAACAGCTTTCTAGTAAAACCAGGGTGGCCTGAAGCTGACGCTTATTTACATTAACAACAAGTGCCTTAAACACTTCGGTTTCTTTTCTTTTTTGGCTTTCTGGGTCACACCCAGAGATGCACAGGGATTCCTCCTAGCTCTGCACTCAGGAATCACCCCTGGTGTTGCTTGGGGGACCCTATGGGATGCTGGGGATCGAACCCGGGTCAGCCGCATGCAAGGCAAACGCCCTAATCGCTGTGCTATCGCTCCGGCCCTGTCTGAACGCTTTTAACTTTTCTGGTAATGTTCGGTTTCTGCTTCAGGAACACCCCAGAGAGGAGAATCAAAAGGGAAAAAAAAAACCCACAACAATAGTCATCGCTTGGCCTCCGATGTTATTTTGTCCCCATTTTCCCAATTTACTTACCTCCAAATACGATAGAGCTGCGAGGTGCCCGCTAACCCAAGGAAGAAGTTGACAGCGAAGAGACTCCAATTTTTGGGGATAATTACAAGGGAGTATCTCGACCACACGAACCCTGGTGAAACAAAAAAGTGCGCGGCTTGAAAAAGCAAGATCGCTCCAGACATGCACCGAGAACCAAATCATCACAAATCAGGCGACAGGAATAAGGTGAGGAACAGAGAAACTGTACATTCTGCAGACTTAGAAACCATTCCCCAACATGATTCCTCATACACCAACGCTCAGGCCTGCCAGCGAAGGGGCGTTTTCTGGAACAAATGAAGAGCAACTGTCATTTCCGCCCCCTATTTATAAAGAGGCTCAGGGTGCGAACCTGGATACCCAACCCCACCCGTCTGTAGTGACGCGCCACCATTTCTTGTCAGATCATATTTTTTTCCCTTGCTTTTTGGGTCACACCCGGTGATGTACAGAGGTTCCTCCTGGCTCTGCACTCAGGAAATACTCCTGGCGGTACTCGGGGGACCCTATGGGATGCCGAGGATCGAACCTGGGTCGGCCACTTGAAAGGCAAACACTACCTGCTGTGCTATCGCTCCAGCTCTTCGTCACATCATTTTTTTTTTTTTTTTTGGCTTTCTGGGTCACACCTGGCGATGCACAGGGATTACTCCTGGCTCTGCACTCAGGAATTACCCCTGGCGATGCTCAGGGCTGACTCCTGGCTCTGCACTCAAGAATCACTCCTGGTGGTGCTCGGGGAACCCTATGAGATGCTGGGAATCGAACCCGGGTCGGCTGCATGCAAGGCACACGCCCTCCCCGCTGTGCTACGGCTCCGGCCTGACCAGGAGGGCTTCTGCGCGGCTTACCTGTAGCTGTCAACACCAGGGACTGCGCCGTGCTGAGCTTCTCTGCGGGCCTGGCCATGTCTGCTAACCCAGCACACACCAACCCCTGGATTCACAGGGAGCAGAAAAGCATCATGAGTGGGGAGGAAAGTCTTGATCTGACTCTTTCTTTATTTTTTCTCACTGGTTTGGGTTTGGGGCCACACCTGGCAGTGCTCAGGGCTTACTCTCGGTTCAGTGCTTGGAACCACTCCCGGCCATGCTTGGGGGACCATATGGGCTGCTGGGGATCCAGGCAAGCTTCCCACCCACCCGCCATTCTATCACTCTCGTCCCCTCAGAAAATGACCTTTTGGTAGCCCCAGCGAAACGTCAAGACTTACCCATTTCATAACTGGAGCCCAGAAAAAAATTGTCCTGGGACCTGGAAAAAAAAGATAAATTCAGAATCAAATTAGCTCTTTGAATAGCCTTTTTACATTTCCAAAGCCGAATACCGGCCATTCTCTCACAGTCCCACCAGACTCCCAGAGTTTGTCTTTAAGTGAACAGAAAGCACACAGAGCGTATTATTCTCTCACCAGGGCTCTTGGGCCTTGTCAACTTTTTTTTTTTGCTTTTTGGGTCACACCCGGCAATGCACAGGGGTTCCTCCTGGCTCTGCACTCAGGAATCACTCCTGGCGGTACTCAGGGGGACCCTATGGGCCAGCGCTGGGCCACTCCACTGCCCTTTTGAGAGATTTTAACTGCTTGTTTTTCTGTTCTATTTCAATGGAACTGCAAATCTTCCTGTACTTGGAGCCTCATACAAAGACAGGAGGGCTCTGCGGCTGCCCCTGAGAACAGGGGCTCTGCTCTGCTTCATTTTCTATTTATTTATTTTTTATTTTATTTTTAACCGGCGATGCTCAGGGGTTACTTCTGGCTCTGCACTCAGGAATTACCCCTGACGGTGCTCAGGGGACCATATGGGATGCTGGGAATTGAACCCTGGGTCAGCAGCGTGCAAGGCAAATGCCCTCCCCGCTGTGCTCTGGCCCCTCCACTTCATTCTCTAGATGCACTTGACCAGCCTCGCGTAGCTGAGGGTTGGTTTTTGTCTTCTAACTGGGGGAGGGGGGGGAAGGGGATGGGCACTCCAAGACCCCTCCTGAGCATCTGACCCGCTGCACCTAGACCCTCCCGACCCTCCTAGGCTGGTTCCCGGGATGTGTAAACAACTTTCTTTGTCTGGGAAAGTAAAGAGGCAGCTGGAATTTCAAAAGAGCCTTTGAACCAGGAACTCACAGAACTGCAGGGACGTCTGCGGGCTCAGGCAGCCTTGCAGTGCCCGGCAGGGAGGGAGGAGGGGCCCCCAGCCCCCACCACAAACAATCCTGCCCCAACTGTCAGCGCCTGGGGGAGTGAGCCACAGTCTTCGCCTCCTGGCTGTCCCTCACTGAGGTCGGTCACACCCTCAGGCGTCCCTAGCTGGGACCAGGGCTCCTCAGAGAGCCTTGCTGGCCCTCTGGGATGGAAGTGACCCGTTGGCGGCCCTCTGGGACACACCACGGCGGAGTGAGCGGCCCCGGGCTGGCCTGCATCAGTGACTTTGGGCTTCGTGGGGGCCACTGGGTCCCCGGCTCCATGCAGGGCCATATTCTGTCGCTGCTCTCAGCTGGGGGACTCAGCACCCAGCACCTGTTTCCTTTCTCCTTAGTCACCTACCGCGCGCGCACACACATGCAAAGGATGGACATATATAGTATCAGCGACTGCGTTTATTTTTATCCGGGGACGGAACTTGGCTATTCCGGGATCTGGCTTTGAACTCAAGCGTCTCTGGGTTTCCATTCTGGAAAGGGAAGTGTCCTCGGGAAGTTTCCTCCTCGCTCAAGCCCCGGCCCCTGGCACGGCCCAGATTCCTTCCCGGACACGGAATTCTGTCTCTTCGGGCCTGAAAGCTTGATCCTTCAGGGTTGAGTAAGCAAGCTGGGCAGTAGACCTGTCTGGTAACTCATTTACTCCCCCAGAGAGTGAGGTGATAATTAAAAATATATATATATTAACCACAACTCTCCGCCCCCCTCTCCCCCAGTCAAAGCATTTGAAACAGGATAATCCAGGTTGCTAGAACAGGGACTGAGAGGGAAGTATTCAGTTGGTGATTAATAAAGTCCAGCTACAAAACAGGAATATAAAGGACACTCGAAACTTCTGATTTTGGGGGCTGGAGCGATAGCACAGCGGGTAGGGCATTTGCGTTGCATGCGGCCAACCCGGGTTCAATTCCCAGCATCCCATAGGGTCCCCTGAGCACCGCCAGGGGTGATTCCTGAGTGCAGAGCCAGGAGGAACCCCTGTGCACCGTTGGGTGTGACCCAAAAGCAAAAAAAAAAAAAAACCCTTTGATTTTGCTTCGAGGAGGCTGACAAGGGACACAGCCAGGGTCTCTGCAAATGTTTTTTTTTTCTTCCCCGAGGGGCTGGGGCAGACGGGGCACTGTCTGAGCCCAGCCTTGACCTGGGTTTGGTCCCCTGCAATCCCAAAGGGTCCCCCGAGCTGCACCAAGAGTGATCCCTGAGCACAGAGGCGGGAGCAGGCCCTGAGCAGCGCTAGTCCCCAATCCAAAAATAAATACAAACAATAAAGGGAAAGAAATAATGGGGAAAGAAAAAAAAGGGGCCAGGCCTCCTCACAGTGATTAACAAAACATTTCAAGGGAATTTCTTTTCGTTTGCCTTCCACTTAGCCAATCAGTTTCTGCGTGAGGAGTCAATAAATCCGGGATGAGGATGATGTGAAAGGGGCCAGGGGCCCTGTAGACCCCACCCCTCACCGTCAGTGGTGCTGGGTGTGGCCAGGGCCACTGGGGGGGCCAGAGCAGGGCTGACCCCACTAGCAGCATGAGCCCGCGGTGACTCCAAGTTAAAAGGTAAAAATAAAGTCAGAGTAAATAAGCCAAGTGGCAGACCAGAGCCAAGGGGACGGTCCACTCTCTCCCAGCGTTTCTAAAACCGAGTGTTTTGTTTTTGTTTGGGGGCCACACCTGGCGGTGCTCCGGGCTGACTCCCGGCTCGGTGCTCCGGGCTGACTCCTGGCTCAGTGCTCAGGGGACCCTGAGTGGCAGTCCGGAGGGAACCCGGGTCAGCAGTGTGACGGCAAGCACCCTACCCACTGTCCTATCTCTCCAGCCCTCTAAAGCCTGGACTCTAAAGCCTACGCCTCCGGGATCAGATTTCACCCGGTCAGTAAGCTGGTGGCACCAGCCTGAGGTTTGGACCATCAGGTTTGGCACCATCCATCTAGCTAGTTCTCAGCGGAGGGCAATAAAAACCGAGATAATCAAAGAATTATCGGAACCTGGAGGCACTATAAGACTCTAAAGTTACGATAAGTCGATGCGTAAGCAGGATAACTAGCTAATAGTCATTAGGCCAATGATAAAGCAAGCTGGCAGGGGAGATGCCAACTGCTGCAAATCAAATCGCCGATACAAATCACCTCAAGAAATTTAATTTGGTGGGATGGGGGTGGGGGAGGGCTGCTGGGATCAGTGGTGGTGGAGGGATGGGTCCTCGATCATTGTATGACTGAAACCCACGCGCAAAAATTTGTAAGTCTACAACTGTACCTCATGGTGTTTCACTAATAAAATAAATAAGTAAAGGCCCTAAAGGTAAAGGCCCTCCCGTTGATCGTTGATTTGCTCAAGCGGGCCCAGTAACGTCTCCATTGGTGACTTTGTTGTTACTGTGTCTGGCATATCGAATACGTCTCGGGGAGCTTGCCAGGCTCTGCCATGCGGGCGAGATACTCTCGGTAGCTTGCCGGGCTCTCCGAGACGAGCGGAGGAATCGAACTCAGGTCGGCCATGTTGGCTGCGTGCAAGGCAGACGCCCTACCTGCTGTGCTATCGCTCCAGATAGCACAATAAGTAAATGAACTTTAAATAAGTAAATGAACTTTAATTTGGGGGGGCGGGGGGCAGGGGAATGGAGCCTCAGGGAACTGGCGGGGGGCTCCAGGTGGGCTCAGCACCCCAACACGGTGGGTCCAAAGCAATAACAGGGTCGAAGAGAACAGAGGAAGGCCTTGCACTCAGACGACCCAGGTTTATTTATTTTTAATTTTTATTTATTTATATATATATTTTTTGCTTTTTGGGTCACACCTGGCGATGCTCAGGGGTTACTCCTGGTTCACGCACTCAGGAACTACTTCTGGGGGTGCTCAGGGGACCATATGGGATGCTGGGTATCGAACCCGGGTCGGGCCATGTGCAAGGCAAACGCCCTACCCTTTGCGCTATCACTCCAGCCCCCGACCCAGGTTTAATCCCCGGCCCCGCATACTATTCCCCAAGTTCCCCTGGGAGTAAGCAAGCCCTGGGCACTGCCAGCATAGCCCCCAAAGAAAGGCAAACCCCAAATTCCCGTCCATAGGACACACGATGGAGGTTGGGGCCGCCTTGGGAATCCAAAGGAACACGAAGCGCCACAGCTCTCCTTTCTGCCACCCCTTTCCAGTCCCCGGGCATTCCCTTAGGCTTGTCCCTTGCGACACCCCGAACTGTTTCTCTCCTTTCTTTACACCCTCTTGAGCAAGTCTGCGGCTCCCGGGCACGCGACACATTTCTTCCAGGTCCCTGGGATTTGTACAGTTACTCTTTGACACAGATAAGGAATGGATGCCAGAAAAGCCTGTCTGCTGGCGTTTGTAGAGAAGCCGGTTCTGATTTCACCCGCCGAACCCGGAGTGAGCCCTAATCTTTTAGTTATTTATTTTATTATTTTATTTTTTTGTGAGCCCTAATCTTTACAGCTAATACGACTGATACAGAATCTTTGTTGCTCCTGCAGTGCACTGGAAACTCAACTACCAGTCCAATTCTTTGGGCCTATACTGCCCCAACATTAAGGGCATATGTTAAAAACGTCCAATGAAAACAGGTATTGAGGGGAAAAAGGGGGGGGGCTGGAGCCATAGTATTGAGGGTAAGGCACTTGACCTTGCATGCGGCCGACCCAGGTTCGATCCCCGGCATCCCACAGGGTTCCCTGAACACTACCAGGAGTGATCCCTGAGCACAGAACCAGGAGAAACCCCTGAGCATCGCCAGGTGTGGCCCCAAAACAAAAAAGTCAGCGGAAACAAAGGGGAGAGAAAACGAGGCTGGTGGTGGGAGGCGGGGGGACAACCAGGTTTTGGTGGAAATTCCAAGTTTCGATAGCCAGCGAGGTGGCTGAAACTTTTCCCCACGACAGAATTACTGACTTTCTTTTTTTTGGGGGGGTGGGCTTTTTGGGTCACACCCAGCAATATATAGGTGACCATATGGGATGCTGGGAATCAAACCCAGGTCAGCCGTGTGCAAGGCAAATGCCCTCCCCGATGTGCTCCAGCCCCGAGAATTACTGACTTTTAGGGAAGACTGTGAAAC